TTTTGCTAAAATCAAAATGCTAATTTTTGTTATATAAAATGTTAATCATTCTTCAACTTTTATAATAATCCTTATGCAAGATTACAACTTAAGTGTTTGATTGCGCTATATAATTTTAATCATAATTCAACAAAAGTGTCAAATTGGAGCAGTATAATTCTACAACACTGTCAAATTGGCTAAAGCATCCTAGATAGTTGTCTTTTCATCATGTAGTCTCGATGCTTTTGCTGGACAAGGTCATGGTATTATGTGAAAATTAACACTCCTATCCATTTTTCATGGTGGAACTATAATTTACAAGTTATTGATGGGTATTTTGCTCAACATACAACTGATTCTATCAGAGCGGAAAGGGTTAATTGCTCAATGCCGAAGGAAATGTTAGGAAACCGAAAGAGAATATATGTTAACTTTTTCTTCTTTTTCGTTGCTGTTAAATTCGTGATATGTAACAAATATAATTTATTGCAATCGAGTAGACTGAAATTTCTTGGCACTGACGAAGTCTTACCAACAGAAATAAATGCTAAATAATTGCCAATGAAAATCATTGTTTTGCGACAATTGATGCTTACATTAGCTACAAGCCGAAGTTGATCCAGTTTATTTAGATTAAATCTTTAAGCTAATGTCATGACTCCCTCTGATGTGATTTTTTTAATTTTGTCTTATTCCTTGATTTTAATTATTGACCTTTGTCTTGATCATGTCAAGGATCTCTTATTATTGGTGTCTTGGTTATACCTGGAGCATCAATTTAGTGTGGTTTCAAGAAATATGTTTGCCATTTAACAAAGAATAATGGAGGATCATGAAAGCTAAAATACAGCATGGCAAGTTTTATCTTGATCAATGACCAACTACTAGACAAGTCTAATAGTTAGCCACGGGCCAATAAGCAAACTCCAAATAGGATTATAGGACTTATCATTTTCCAGGACATATGGATAGTGTATTATTTGAAATATTATTTGGAATAATTACTGTAGCACTTTTTGTGATGTGATGTATGTGAGATAAAAAGGTGGTTGAGAATATAAAAATGTGGGTTGGAAAATGTGTTTATGATGCAAGCGAAATATTATTTGGGATAATTGGGGTATCCAAACAAACTTACGTTTTATCTGTTTTTCTAATGCCTTCATTGTTCCACCAACTATTTCAAGCACAAGTTAACCTCACCTCCTCTACTTTCTCTGCTGCATTGCCACCAGGACAAATATGTCCTACTCCTGCAACATTTCTTTTTTTAAAAAAATAAAATTTCTATTTGAAACTGATTGAAAGCAGCCATTCCTTCTTCTCTTCGGTTTTCTTGTAATTTCGCGAAGCAGCACTTGATCCCAGTTAAAGAATATTTCAGATTTCACAGTTTAGGTACATTTTGAAATGCACAAAAGAGAAGAAAAGAAGAAAAGGGAAAAAGGAATGCTCCAAATCCTTACGTTCCATTGTCTCGATTCTGAAGTGAAAAAAACAAAAATTGTACTCACTGCTCCATGAAATCTGCAATGCAGGAAGATGAATGCTGTAGTTAAAGCTCTGGACACTTTTAGTTTGTAGATTGGTTTCATTGAACATTGTTCATTTAATCTTTGAATCAAGTATTTGTGCTAATAGTGATTTAATCTAAGTATCCTAGCATAATTTTACATAAGCATACCAGTGATTTAGCGATGGTTTAATGTAATTGTCAAATTGTCTGTTTGTGTTCAACAAATAGTATGATATTCTAAAACAAGTACAGATTTCCCATTCTTTTGTACCCCAAATAATTTCACATAATTTATTTCAGTCACTTGCGTAAATTATTCTTGCAAAATAACTGCTTCATCCGCAACTTTTGAAAATTTGGATGGCTAAACTAGATTAAAGGCATATACATGTTAGCTCATTAAATCTCATTAATTTGGTTGAAATTTTGCATGCTGTGATAAAGCATTAACCACCAATCCAAAAAGGAACTGTGTGATTATTAAAACAAGGGTTCTTCTGTTGTGTGGTGGCCTTTTTTTTTTTGGTAAAAGTTTAGATTTCCTACGCCCAAAGTGTTTGCAATTTAGTTGGTTGGAGGTAATATTCGAATTTAGTAATGGGCTCCTTTTTCTCAGTGATCTTGTCATATGTATTAAGAGTATATAATAAAAAAACTATATATAAAAAAAAATTTGCATTCAAACTTCTGCTGTTATTCACATCTTTTGATCCACATGAGATGAATATGGAAAGTTGACAGTCTGATCTAGTAAGACCTCTCCGCCGATTAGGCACATCAAAAGGGGTGAACATTAGAATTCTTTGAGGAGAACTAGCTGCATTCGTAAATTCATCTACTACCATGTTTGTTTGCCTTGAAGCATGAGAGAAGAACAAAATCAAAAGATTGACTTGAAATAATCACTTGGATCAGTACAAACCCTCTTAGAATCTTTTTCACTATTAAATTCAAGGTACGAATACTATGTCCGATAGCTGATTGTGAACAAGGTATAAAAAGGGATGAGAGGATTTCTTTTTTTTTTTAAGGCCGACTTGAAATGTCTAAAATGATGTGATCCCAAGATAACCTTTTAACTACGGATCCTAACCCTTTGCAAATTCAAATTTCCAACTGTCAGAAGGTCCTTTTCAAACAATGTCCTTAACCAACACTCCCAAAGCCTTATGCATACTATATTGGAATATATTCGATTCTCAAGCATTTTATATCTATATTTTTGCCAATGATACGTCATTGATAATGCAAGATCTTATATTTAAAGAACAATCTCATGTGCAAACATGGACACCAAGTAATAAAATTAATTCGTCATACCATGATTAACAAATATAAAGACAGGAATGGGAGGGACACGAAGACTTGTGTCCCCTCCAATAATTTTAAGTTCTTGCAAATGAAATAAAGCTCTCTCTCCCCCTTTTCATTTTTATTGTTTAATTTTGCTTTCATATTTGATCGAAGGGAGGTGTAATTAGGGATCACCAAATTGCAGCGTCAAAATCAAAATCTTACAATGAGAAGACATGAAACTGGACCACTAAAATTATACATAATTTTTTATCTCTACCCCTCTTTGATCCAAGTAAAAGATGAAAGAGAGAAAAGAAAATTATTGGCAAACTAATTGTAATATTTGCACCATTAGTCCAACATCAAATCAATCTTCAGGGACTCTGAAAGAGAAATCAGTTGGAGAAGAGAAGCCAAAGTCCACGGTCCCCTCCAATAATGATGTGTAAAGCAAGAATTACGTATCAGCAACAGAATTTATTCCCACAAATGATGGAAATAAACTAAGCTGTTCTATTTGTTTATTTCCTTTTTTTTTTTCTTGCTTTGCTGTCCTGTTTGTTTAGTTTCCATATTATTTTAGAAAATCTCAAGTCAATTTTTAAGTAAGTTTCGATTTGCAATTGTATTTGTTTAGAAAGTTCTACGGTCTATAAATACTACTAGCGGATTGTTGTAAGCGGAAGTCTGTGACTTAATATATTTGTTGTTAAGTTTTTCAATTAAAATTGCTAAGTATTTGGTTGTTTGTTTATTCTCCTCCTTTTCCTACATGTTTTTATATGTACCAAAAATTGCTTATGCTATGTGTGTTTCCTTTTCTTCTTTTTTTTTTTTTTTTTGTGCCTACAAGTGGTATCAAAGTTTTGAGCTTTGATCCTAGGGCTTGTTCACAAAATTAGGATATAAAATTGGTCCTAATTGAGTAGAGATTAAAAGTTAAAATATGGATCCGTATTATTTACAACATTGTGTTATTTTTATCTTTGATGGTAAAAACGAATTTGAAATTTGGAATTGGATGATGATAAAGTTTTTTCAAACTATTGAAATTTGGGATATTGCCCAAACAGAGTTTGTGGAATTTGCAGAAGGTACAGAATCGTCAAGTAGTTTAGTCAAAATTTAAAGAGGAATAGACTTAACATTGTTACTATTGAGTTTTGAATTAATAAAATTGTTGAATATTCAGTTGTTTATTTATTCTCCTTCTCTTCCAACATATTTTTATGTGTTAAAAATTGCTTCCACGGTGCGGTTTTTTTGTTTTTTTTCTTTTCTTTTGGGGTGCCTGCAACAAATTCCTATCGACTCGCATCATGGTGAATAAACTAAAAGAAACGATATATAGTTGATATAAAGTAGATTAAAGAAATTTTATTCCTGCAAGTGAACAAATTTATTGCTACCAGACGAATCTTACAACCTCAAAGAAATCATCATAATGCTTATGAGCCTATTGATGAATATGTTAATGGAAAAGAAGGAATGTGTCAAACTGCAGAAAATTATACACTTCACCTATTAAAAGCCTTGTAATCCTCATTTTTACGTCATGGAAGCATTTTTAGTACTTTAAAGGTCAAATTATTGTACAAACACTCATATTGGTTATTAGGTACGTACGTAAAATACGGTATTAGACACATTTTAATTTCTCTAGTATGTAATTGAGCACCTTGCCGATAGCAGGGCTTGTTATGTATGCAATAATAGCCTCCCAACTAGTAGACAAATATTTACAAATTTATTGCTTAGAGTTTCACTAACTGACTTCTGAGCATTCTATCAAGCTGCACCTCACCCACCGTTAAGAATAATCTTCATGTACAATCAAATTTGCTGCAAAGCATCGAAGCAATTAATTGCAGTATTCCAGCACAGATGAAGTAACTAGTGAAAACCGGATATGAGCAAAAAATAAAAATAAAAATAAAATTAGTTGATGAAGCCCAGGTAAAGCAATTGATCAAACTAAACTTGCTTATTTTTTATCCTGGAATTATCAACAGCTAATTTTGTTGGAGTACTAAGTACTAACTGGAATATGGGTATCGAATTAAGGGTGTTTTGAAAGCAAGAACTATGAAGAAAATGCACAGCAGATAATAGGCAACTAAAAGAGAGGTTCCAGACTCGCGAACGACTGTAAGATCATGACTGATGGGTTTGATCTTCGCTATTGAGAAAGGAAAAAGTATTCATCTGTTCAATTTTACCTCTGAAGTATCTGCATAATCAATCTTAGTCAATCAAGGATAACAATTTTCCTAATTGTATGAGATGAGAAGATTCCTAACCCTCCCCCAACAAAAGATTATATGCCCACAGAGTACTATTAAACAAATAGAAACATTGGGGAATATCATCCTTAATATTAAGCAAAAGCAAAGATACAGACAGATCTCCCCATCCACAGATGAATAAAATAATTAGAATTGGCAACTGAATGATGCAGGAACAATGTAACTTTGATCAGAAGTTAGAGCGCGTCTCCCTTGTCATGGCAAACAAGTGCAGTAGTCCATTTTCTTTGCCTAAACATGCATTCACATGGATATCGGATACCCGCACTAAAGTTTAATTCGGATAAGGATTGCTTTTGAATGAATCATTGCTGAACACCAGGCTTGTACAAATATTCCAAACTCAAACTGTGGTTTATCAACAATCACTTCATAAGATGAACTGGAAAATGAATCAGTGAGATTCCTCACCTGAAATCTTCTGCATACTTAATTCTGCAGTAGAAGGATTTTTTATGGCAGTTTCCATTTATTTTCATGCTTCATGCTTGCAGTAGTCATCGCATTCCAGTTCCACAGACAGTAAGTTCAAGAATGGCCCAACTATCTGCAAAGAAAACCAGTAGGAAGTATTAAACAAGAAGTTATTGGCAAGGGCAGTATGAAAATTGACTGCAAGTCTTAAATACAACATCAGCTTTTGAGATGTCCTGAGTTATCCAGCATTAGGGCAGGCAATGCAAGCAAAGACACCAGCAGTCCGTTGCAGTGACGAGTAAAAACAGGACAAATCTACGAATCTGCTGAAGCAGGAAAGCAGCACTTGTTTTGGAGCAAATCTATCTGAATTTTGTTAGTTCTGGACAAATCCTCAGAGAATAATCTGCATAAATACAAAAAAGCATAAAGATAATACAAATGTTTTGCCAACTGACATTTACAACTACTACTAAATTTCTATCAGCTCATTGTAGCACTTCTCTTTAATAATCTGTCATAAGAAACAGTTAGCTAGAGCACATGGAAACATGTTTTTAGTCCTCCAAGACATCAACAGACCAATCCACCAAAATCCTTCTCAGGTTTGTATTAAGATCCTTCTAAACTTAGTTTCACTGCTTATCACACCGTTGAACCCTAAGAAACTATTTATACACAGTAACAATTATAGATTGATTAAAAAAAAAAATTAAAGTCCTTTCCGTATAAAGTAACCCATTATCACAAAAGAAATCTTCAGCCACTTCACCATAATTTATTACCACATAACCCCATTGAAACCAAAGAACCATATTTGAAATCATGAATTTATAAAATTAAAAAAGTAAATCTTTGAATCAAAAACCATTCCCAAGATGTGAACTATTTGACATAATTAGAACAAAACATAACAGTTAATTGCCTTAACATGATCAAAGTCAAATCAAACAATAGCCTATTTCTTGATTTTCAGAAATAACCCAAACCAACTTCTAACAAGAACCAAAAAATAATAATAATAATAAGTTTACATTTTCTTACCAACTCCATTTTATGAAGATACTACTGATTTTACCATGGGGGTCAATAGTAGACAATAACTCCCATCTCCCCCCACCCCGTAAGCAATCATGTGTGCTCCAGAAAGCAACTCTTGTCAAAATCTCATTCAAAAGGTGCTGAGTTCGAATTACATATCAGAAACAATATATTTAGTTATCGTCCTTTTGGCATCATTATCATCGGTTGCATACCTTCATCAACTTCTCATTCTCCTCCACAGCCACCTTGAGCTTTTGTTTTGCCTTAATTTTCTGCTGTTTCTGACCTGAACTACCAAGCTTTGAGTCCTATTACTAGACAAACTCTTAAACTCACAAAACGCCAGTTACTTGCTCAGCCACTGCAGGAAGCAATTGCCCACTTTACTATGCACTTTGTAAATGGTGAAAAAAGTTAACAATAATTCACATCTTCTGATTTTCCATTTCAGTTCTAGCCCATAGAACCAGTTGCCAAGTTCTCCGACTCTTTCCCACTCCAAAATGTGATAAATGGCTGTAATTTGATCAACTTCTCATGTTCAGTACTCATTTTGAAGTTACCTTTTTTCTATGGAGAATCTTTCACCATTCTCCCTCTGTTTGTCATAAAATTTGTTGTATAACTACACATATTAATGGTACTCAATGCGCACTGCTTATTTCTTTCTAGATATACCATTTATGTCTGATCACTTCATGCCTTTTCCTTGTCCTAGGATCTCACCGCCCTTTCCTGAAAGCACTTCTTTAGTCACCTGTTCATAGGCAGTAGACTTGTTTAGCCAGAAATGTTGAATGCAAAAGTTAAACTTTACAATCATAACCGCTAACCAACAGGCATCATAAGAACTGATGACAAAACATTTGGTTTTTGGCAGGTATTTAAGAAGGAAGACATACCAGAGTTCAAAGACATATAATTCATAATGGGAGACACACATTGTCAGGACAGTGTAGATGATTTTAGGCGAACAGCTGCTTCAGAATGAAGAGCCCATGTCAGTTCAATCATAAAGCAATTCATCCTTCTCCATGTGACTGCTTATTATGGACAGGCACTCATATACCATCTCTGCGAATGGGAAAGATTTATCCTCCACGAAGAAGGTTTGTATTCTCTTGTCAATTTCAACCCAGCTACATCCAGGGTTTTTTCTTACTCCAAGCTCTTTCATCTTCATCCTAAACTTGCGTGCAATATCCCATCTTCTGTTCGAAGAATACATGTTTGCCAAAATAGTGTAGGTGGATGGATCATCCAGGTCCTTTTGCATGAGCAATCTAGCAATTTCCTCCCCTATTTTTTGTTCCCCATGCTTATGGCAAGCACAGAATAGAGTGCTTAACAAACCAACATCCCCTTGGATACAGGGAGTTCTCTGTAGAATCGCATAAGCTTCATCTAATCTACCAGCACGACCAAGAAGATCAATAAGACATGAGTAGTCTTCATAATTTGGTTGGATTTTGTAGTCATTGACCATTACATTGAAATAATGATAGCCATCATCAACTAATCCTGCATGGCTACATGCAGAAATTATTGCAATGAAGGCCACTCTGTCTGGTGACACATTTGAGAGCAGCATGTCAGAAAAAAGTTTTAGAGCTTCATGAGCCTGGCCATGAGACCCAAAAGCCACGATCATTGATGTCCATGACACAAGATCTCTCTTGCGAAGCTGATTAAAAACACAAAGAGCTTCATCTACAGCTCCGCATTTGGCATACATGTCAAGGAGGGCTCCCATGACTATCTCATTTGGCTCCACTTTACTCTCCATGACCAGCTTGTGAATTTCCTTGCCCTGTTCTAAAGCAGCCAATTGAGTACAAGATGCCAATGCACTGGTAAAAGTAACTGCATCAGGTTTTATGCCAACTTCTCTCATCTCATTGAAGATGCCAAGAGCCTCAAAGTAACTGCCAACTGATACATATCCAGAGATCATCACATTCCAAGAAATTACATTATTCTTCGGCATCTTCAAGAAGATTCTTTCAGCTGGTACAATACTTCCACATTTGAAATATAAATCAACAAGTGAGCTACTAACAATGATATCCGTTTCTATGTCATTCCTGATAATGTAGCCATGAACAAATTTCCCATGATGCAGTTGAGCTGATTTAGAACAAGCCATCAGTAAGCTGCTAACAGTTGTCGAACTAGGCCTAATTTTTTCCTCATTCATCCTCAGCAAAAGTTCAATACATGATTTACTATCTCCTCTCAATCCATACCCTGAAATCATTACATTCCAAGCTACTAAACTCTTCTTCTTTATTTGCTCAAAAACTTCTTTGGCCTTCTCTAAACATCCACATTTCCCGTACATATCCACAAGAGCAGTAATAATAAAATCATCCAAAACAAATTCGCTTCTTACCAAATCCTGGTGAATCCTCGTCCCTCTTTCCAAATCCATAACTCTTGCACATGAAGAAATAGCAGAGGTAAACGTAACTGAATTAGGCTTGAACCCCATTCTCTTCATATTTTCAAACAATTCAAGCGCTTTCTCATATTGCCTACTCTGATAATAACAAGATATCACTGTGTTCCAACTCGCAACATCTCTTTCAGGCATTTCATCAAACAGCTGTACAGCATAATCAAACATATCACACTTCGCATACACACCAATCATAGAGCTAGCAACCACAACATCTGACAAAATCCCAATCTTTATCAACTGGGCATGAATCATTCTACCATTTTCTGCCCTTTTTAACCCGCTACAAGCCTTGATTACACTTGGGTAAGTGTAACTATCTGGCCTAATATGAGGGAACTTCAAAAGCTTTTCAAAAAGTTCAAGAGCTTCATTGTACATGAAGTTCTTGGAGTAAGCAGCCATAAGGCCATTCCATAAGGTGATGTCTAAAGGGTTTTCTATGGTTTGGAAAACTAACTCAGCAGATTGAAATTCATGGCACGAGATATAGAGATTGATGAGGTTTTTGGACAGCCCAATATCGTTTTGTAAGCCTAAAGTGATTAATTTTTGGTGTATGACTTTGCCATTTGTTAATGATTTTGAATTAATGCAGGATTTCAAAAGAGAAAACAGCTTTACGCTGTCCATGTAAAACATTACGACGAATTGGAAGAGCGTACCATCAAATTGCTTGGGAATTTAACTAAACTGGTGCGGTTAACAGGGTTTGAAAATTATTCCACAGGACAAGATTTTTTTATTTTTTTTGGATGTTTCTCTCTAGATTACTCGTATTTTCTTGTTTCTTTTTTACCTGTTCTTTAGAACTTTCCTGCTCTTATTTTTTTTTTTTTTTTTTGGGTAATTTTTCAGGATATTTCAGAAATTGCCCTATTTCATTCATTAAAATTTAGTATTTTTTTAAGAGGATCATAAGTAAGACCTTACCCCCTCCTCATGAATTTGCATAAAGTTTAATTATATTCTAGTAACCTAAACTTAATTCAACCAATAGATTTCTAAATGTACTCAATTTAAAAATATCAGTTACATACCAGAAAGTTCAATCGCAACCATTCAATTAACCTAAAAGGCGAATGGAAGAATTTCAATCCCTGCTCGTATTAAGGCACCAATTACAAGTTAAAGTTGCCGCCAATTAAGGTGGAAAAACTATAGAAGTAAAACGTAAAGAACAGATATATAGTGAAGAAGTCAAAAACAAAAACAGGAAGCAATAGAGTTAAACTTTTTATTTCAGCAAGTTTGATCTTTTTTTTCAATCTTCCCCTCCCTTCCCATATCCTTGCTACCCTAACTATCAAACACATGATTTGAACCCTGTATCTGATAACGAAAAGACTCTAAGATCCCTCTCCGATTACTAAATTGATCCCAATGATCAATAGATAATTAAAAATAACATGATGGCACGAAAAATGAAAAAGGTGAGATATTTTCTTTTTTGTATGGCATAAAATGCATTAATCTAATTAATTGTCTTTCACAAAACGAGGCAGCCAAAGGCCCCTTAAGTCATATTCTAATCTACTAATCAGGGGGGTTTACAATTGAACAAAACAAAATCTTCATTTAGCTCCGTCCTCATTTTTGCAAGGAAGTCCACACACTTGTTCCCTTTGTAGTACACATGGCTAATTGATGCTTCTGGTAGCATTGACATTAAGGTCCTACAATCAGATAACAGTGAAGCAAGCTCATGATGATTAGATATTGAATCAATTACAATTTTGGAATCTAGTTCTATTTCCAGTTTGGGTATATGAAGTGAAATGACCAATTGTAACTAGGGCTGCAAACGAATCGAACCGCTCGCGAGCCGCTCGAGTCGAGTTCGAGCTGGCTCGAGTTGAAATCGAGTTCGAACTCGAGCTCAAGATACTAAACTCGTTAACTCGCAAGCCAACTCGTGAGCTCGGGGCAAAATTCAGACACTTGAGGTGCCCATGGCCACGATGGCGGATCGAAAACTTTGAGTTTCCTTTTGGCCGATGGAGTCATATGCTCCTCCTTCTGTGGCTTGACCTGCTGAATCACATTTCCATCCTCTACTACCTTTTTGAAATTCTCACTTGCACCCTTTTGTTGGGTAGAACTGACCACTTGTTTGGCCAAAAGTTCAAATGCAGTAGGTCCTTCAACTGATACTTGACTTGGTTCTCCATCATCAATGAAGATCAAGTCTTGAAATATATATATATATATATATTTTTTTTAAGTATATATTTTTTTTTATTTTTTATTTTAATAGTAAAATTACATATATATCCTTAATATTTTATTATTTATTAAGAAAAAATATTATTTTATTTATTTTTAAAAAAATAAAAATAATTATTTTTTATTTTTTCGAGCCCGCTCGAATCAAGTCGAGGTCGAGCTCAAGCTTGAAATTGTCGACTCATCGAGTTCGAACTCGAGTTCAAGTTCACTAAAATTATGTCAAAACTCGGCTCGATTAGGCCAAAATTCGACTCGACTCGACTCGGCTCGTTTGCAGTCCTAATTGTAGCCCATTTCTTAAAGCCCCCAACTCCGTACTATGTTACTAGGTAGTCCTACTCTTTTTCTAAAGCCACCAAACCAATCTCTATGTTGATTCCTTATTAATCCCCCTCTTCCAAAAGGGCCCGGATTGCCAAGAGAGGACCTATCTATATTAAGCTTTAAAAAGCCATTTTTTGGTGGTTCCCACCTGTTAAGCAACTCTTTCCTTCTGATGATTCCTTTAGAGAAGGATCCAAGAGCAAGAAATTGCGCTCCTTCACTAATGGTGGTTGTAAAAAGGTCCCTCAGAGGAACCTCAGGTTTGAACAAAATTTTGTTCCTATACTTCCACAGCAGCCAGCATCCACAAGCAATTAGATTATCTCAAGATATGTCATGAAATGGAGAAGTTTCTATGGAGAGACCAGCTTTTTGAAGCCAGGCTTGTGTATCTGAAAACCTGTAAGGATTGAGCCTATGAGAAATGCCCGACTTGACCCATAAATCCATTGCGAGTCCACAAAAACCTAGGACATGGCCTATATTCTCTGCTTCTTGACCACATGCTATGGCAGCAATCATCATCAATTATGTTCCTAGTCTTGAGAGTAGACTTAGAAGAAAGTCTATCTTGGGAAGCCACCTATAGAAAAATTTCACTCTTTCACTAGCACTAACTTTCCAAACTTACCCATGCAAGTTAGGAGTGTCTTTTTCGGTAGGCTTGTCTATTTGAATAAATCCTAGACAAAACGTTAAAGAATAGACTCCAGCGGGGTTAGTAAGTCATCTAGTGGAGTCCTCTTCATTAGCTAGTTGATGTTTTCGAGCAGCTTTTATGGATTGAAGGACAAAATCAGTTAAGACCATGGATAAGCAGCTTAAATCTCATCCTCTATCCTTACAAAAAATTTGACAAACCCTCACTTCATCTTCACCTTCCATTAGTGGCCCTTGAATGATCTCTATTAATGCACCCAATCCTATCCAATTGTCTATCCATACTCTAGCAGTAGCTTCATTTTTTGATGACCCATCCCATCCTTCTATTGCAGAAGTTCTTCCCCAAGTTAAGGCATTTCTTATTGATAGATCCTAGCCCCATTCTTCAAAGAAAGTTCACTTCTAAGGATGGACTGATTTTCATCCACATACCTCTACTTTAATATGGCAACCCAAGGGAGGGACTGATTCTTAGTCATTCTCTAGCATAAGCTTGCCATAGCTACATTATTGATGTCCGTAGTTTTCCTGATACCCGACCCTCCTTGCTCTTTTACTCTAGAAATAGTGTCCCATCCTACTAGATGAATTTTCCTCTTCTCCTCTGTGGACCCCAAGCAAAATTCTTTTGGACTTTATCTATCTCTTCATACAATACACAAGCAAGGGGAGACAGTATGCATAGAAGGAAGTCGTAGATGTTTTCACTTGTTGAATTATAGCATTCCTTTCAGCAAATGACAATAAGTTAGTTTTCTCCCCTGTTAGTTTGGCTTTATTCTCTCAAGGATGAATATGAACATTTGTTTCTTGGTTCTTTTATGACATAGAGGGATCTCCAAGTATTTTTCCTACTATTTTGTTCCTTTTATAGAAAGGAAATCAGTGACTTTATCCTTGACATGAGCATCCATATTTCTAAAGAGGAAGCGCCTAGATTTTTCTAAACTAAGAGCAAGGCTAGATCTGGAGAGTGTCTTTCACAGAGAAGATAGAAGACTTAGAGAAACTGCTGAACAAGATGATATCATCAACAAAAACAATAGGATAGTGATATTCCCTTTCTTCCAAAAGACAGCGGTTCCATAGTTTTGAGTTAACTACCTCCTCAATCCTAAGGAAAAGGTACTCCATACAAATCAAAAATAAATAAAGAGACATGGGGTCCCCTGTCTTAATCCTCTTGAAGGGTGAATCCACTCTAGGGGTGAACCATTAACAAGAATTGCTAGTCTACTAGATGACACATACTTAAAAATGATAGAAATGAGATCAAGAATAAAATCAAAATGAACTACGGCTTCTCTTACAAATGACCATTCTAGCCTATCATAGGCTTTCTCTAGGTCAATTTTTTATAGCACAAAAGCCTTTCTTTTCCTTTCTCTTATTGAGGATATGAATGGCCTCTTGAACTTTGATGATATTATCAAATCTTCTTCAACTAGGAATAAACCTAGCTTGAAATGGGGAGATAAATTCATTCATGAAGGGTCTGACCCTATTAACCAACAACTTTGAAAGAACTTTATAAGAGGAATTGCAGAGACTAATGGCCCTGTGTTGTTTGATAGACTCAGGCTAGTTGACCTTAGGAATCAGACAGAGAAAATAATCATTCACTCTCTCAAAAAGTTGGCCCCCATTGAATGTGTCAAGAATAAAACTTCATATGGATTCTCTAACCTCATTCTAGAAGTTTTGGAAGAAAGATAGATGATACCAATCAAGCCCAGGTGTCCTGAATAGTTTCAAATCAAAGACTACCTGTTAAATTTCAAACAATATCAGGAAGGGCGGACAATCTATTTTTGATACTTGGATCTAACTTTTTGTGCATGGTAAGAAACCCATCAAGATGGTTTTTGATACTTGGATCTGACTTTCTGCATATGGTGAGGAACTCATCAAGATGGATTTTAGAAGAGATATTGCCGGTGGAAAACAAAGATTGGAAGAAGTACAATGTGACGCCCCGAAAAAAAATGAGTTTGAGAACCCGGAAATTTTCTAATTTTCTAGGGTTTATTTTTTTTAAATGCTTGCCTTTTCTACATTTTCTTGATTAGAAAAATTCCCCAGATCAAGTTTATGAGCAAATATAGTTTTCAAATGATTTTTCTAGTATCGGTTAGTTTTTGAGAAATTAAAAGCGTATTTTGGACGTGGGACCCGCAAGTGCGGTAAATGCATTATATTTTTGACAACTTGTTGGAATTTTGTATTAAGTGATATTAGTTTACAATGTGTTAAGATATTTGTGTAAGAGAGACAAAAAGTTAGGCAAGCAATTAATGAGAGGGACATGTGTCACCATATGATTAAATCTTGTTTTGACTTACTATTCAACCTTTTACCAATTACTAAATAAAACAAAAAATTGATCAAATATCTTCCATTTTTCCTTCAAGCTTGGCCGAACCTCCTCTTACAAGAAAAGAAAGAAAAGCTTCCAAGTTTCTTGCTCCAATCATGTCCAATCTCACAAACTAACCAATTAATCTTGAATTCCTTCCATAAAACCTCTTCAAGTAGTGATTG